TGTAAAAATAGTAACATTAGGGTTTAGGCATATAAAATATAGTAAATAAAGTCACAGACAGCCCAGAACCGACAATATGCATGTTGGATTGGCTTGCATGGGTTTGTACTGACCTTCTTCCCCTTACTGAGTTGAAGGAGAACATCTTTTCATTTCTCTTCACTGGATTTGTAGCTAGAAACTTCTAAAAAAAAAAAAAAAACTGCTAACTGTTCTATTTTTAGAAAAATATATATTTTTTCTGAATGATTTAACCAATTGCTATATTGCTATCAATTCATTGTGAATTTCACAGTCAGGCTTTTCAGGGATAAATTAAGCCCCACTCCTCCTTCATACTCTTGTGACAGACCTGCCTGCCCCTGTTCAGCTTTGTTCTGAGCACGTGTTGGTGCCAGTTATGGTTTCATCTTTGGCAGATTTTTCCCTCTTGCTATATAATGACCAGAGGGTTGATATAAAAACCTAGGCCCTTCCTTTCTGCTTTAACAGAGATAATTACGTAACAATAGTACTTAAATAACATTTTTAGAGTTAAATCTTGACCTTAGAATTAAATCTTGAATTTCAATCTAGAGTTAAACTTTGAATCTCCTTTGTGAGGCCAAACTACTGCTTATAGGGTGAGGTTCTTTGCAAGTGTTATTCTGAATAAATAGGAATTGAGAGACCGCATTTTCCAAAGGGCCTCAGACACCCTTCCCTCTCTGGGCACCGAGATTGTAGTCTACAAAGGATGGATCAATTTAGCTGTCAAAATGAAAGCCCAGAGGCCAATTGTCCATGCAAATTAACCACTTGTGCAAGCACTTCGAAATTGCCTGCGTGAAAAGCAAGCTTGCCATTTGAAAATTTGGCTCACCGTGGCCAAAATAAGAAAGTATTCATGATTCTGAGACCTTCGTGTCCTTGGAGAGCCAATTTTAGGAATTGCTTATTTTGAGCAGTTGCTTAGTTTTTGGCAACCTGCTCGCTTTAATGAAGAAGCCGTTTTCGCTCCTGTGTTTCTTCCCTGAGCCTCCCAGGCCTCCTTGCAGCTCAGAACACGTCATCGTCTCCTGTGGGAGTGATGGGTTGGGAAGTGTTTTATTCCAGCTGTACTTCGGTTACTGAGGCAATATATTGGTTTTAGGGTCAGCAATTCCTACCAGTTTTAAATATCCACTGAAGGATAATCTACATGAAGACTAAATGGAAAACAAGTGGATTTCTTTCTTCCCAATGCTGTTAGGATTAGTTAATGCTTTGAGAAATGAAATTCCCGGTTACTGTGTTCCCTTTTCGTTAGGTCTTAGCTATGTTTACTGTTTCTAGACCATCACGTTTCACTGTGGGTAATACCTGATGGGGCGAGGGGTCTGAGGCCTGATTTGGGGATGGGTGCTCCAAGTGGGAAGCTCATTTCTCTTCCATGTGCATCTTACTCTTTAGATACAACTTGTAGTCATGCCTGCTCTTCTGTGCAGGGGAATAGGATTTGCCTCTGGCATTCTCAGAGCCAGATGTTTGCATCATTCAGTGACCCAGCTGTGAGGTCATGTGCCTTCACATAGGGACTTGCTGTCCGTGAGATCTTGGTCACCATTGGGACTGGTCTCCATGTGTTCCTGCTTTGGCTCTAAGATAGCCAGAGATTCAGTGAAGAGAAATCTACCCAGTGTGGGCCTGGGGCTGTGCTGTGCACATAGGTTAACCGACCAACTGATGATGGGATGTCTGCCCACGAAACCCCATGGCCACTGGTAAATTCTTGCTAGGTGGGAAACCCCGGCCTAAGAGTTTATAGGTTTCTTGAGCCTGCATCTGGTGGGGTTTCTTTCCATTACTCCACTAAACTTTATGGTGCCAGGTGGTCTTGTCCTTCTTCATTTTATTTCCAGTGTAATTTGACTGTGTACATTCTCCAAGTTGAGCTATTAAGACTGGCCTGACATGTTAATTTCTCGCATATATCTGTGGATCAAGGCTGGCATTCAGCTGACCTGTGGTCTTTCCAAGAACTTTTAAATCTACAGCTTACCTCATTTTGAGGAGATTGGGCCACCAGAAGGTTGCAGAATTTAGCAGAAAATCATGTGCTGATGGGCACTTAGTAAGTTTTAATTGATGTTTAAATTTTGCTCAAGCATTTCTATTTAGGGACAATTTGATGAGCCCACGAAGGTGGCTACAGGGTAAAACTTCTGGGAGAGGTTTATTGTTTGTAAATCAAAAGTGTCCTAGTGACAGTTGTGCACATGTATGTTCATGGCAGCAGTTTTTCCAGAGCAGAACTCTGAGAATTCTGATACAGGATTTGGGAGGTTGTTTGTACCAAGGTTAATGCTAAACAAAAAGAGAAAAGAATAAGGGTAATATGGAGTTGAGTCAAACAGGGAAATTTATATGTTAATAAAATGTAAGCAGTTTCTTATTAAATGGGTAGTTAAATGTCCGCTTTAAAATATTCCCACTTCCAGTCTGGAGTGAGCCTCTGGGGCTTTGTAGGTTCTTTACCTTTTGACTTTCTTAGTTTTCTGGAAAGCATGGCAGTGATTTATAACGTATATATCAGCTGATTTATGGCCTCACTGGGGGAGGATAGGAGAGCTCAGCTCTGGCCCTGCAGGAGTTGTCCTCTGTTCCTCTCGCTCAGCTCCAACTCAAAGCCTCTGCCTGTGGCTGTGGTTTCTGCCCCTGGGTGCTCACTCCTGGGCACAGGGCAGTGTCCTCTTGAATGCCCCTTCTCCTGCAGAGGGCAGGGCTCCTACCCAGGCAGGGCTGACCCTCAGTCGTAGAAGACCCTGATGCCACTTGCTTGGCTGTCAAATGCAGGCTGGTCTAAACACACACACACACACACACACACACACACACACACACACACACACACACACATCTTTTTCACTGTTGATGTAAACACAGGCACAGTCCAAACCCTTTAGGATGCCCCTGAATCCTGCTGCTGGGGCTAATTTTCTGTTGAGACATCCAATTCTGCAGGGAGTTGTGTGTTTTCCCCTCCAAGCCACATGAGCTCTCCCATGTGAGTGTTGCCTTTGCACGAGGAAGGGGCTGGGTTTTGGTGGGGAAGGGTTGGGCAGGGACTGTCCAGCTTTCCAGCTGTGGCTGTCCCTGCCTGGATTCGGCAAGGATGTTGTTCTCTTCCTGCAGTCTTTGCTCTCTGGCTGCGTCACTGATTCTGAGCTCCTAGTGTTCCTTTTGGCGCCTGTCTCCCTTGCCACGTAGGAGGCTGGCCGTGTTCTGCAGTGTGGCTTGGATGTCCAGCCGAGGGCCTGTTTCAGTTAACTTGTGACCTCATTGGAGGAGGATGGGAGAACTATCAGCTCTGATTTTAATTCAATTCTGACACATGGGAGTTTATGGAAATTGCAGGGTAGTCGTGGCAGTGAATAGTGGCTCTGTCTGACTTCATTACCTAAATTTCAAACTAAGATCTAAACGATGACAAGGAAAGTTTAGTGATAATTGTTGTAAAATATATTTGGGGGCTCAAGAGAGGAAGCTCATGTACTCAAAGCTGCCGTTTAACAGCGAAGTTTCAACTTACGTGTTTTGTTGCCGCATCCAAAGGTGATCTGTTACTGGGGTTGTGCAAAAGAAACTGGCCACTCTCAGGCTTATTTCTCAGCCCGAGTGTGCTTTCCTGGCTCCTCTTTTGGCCTTAAGAGTTTGCATCTGCGCCTGGTCCTTTCCAAAAGATGATGTCATGAACCCCTGAAGACTCAGCGGGGACAGCGGGACTGGCAGTGATGCATGGCGCGAGCGCACCTGGGCTGCTCGGGCGTCTCCATGGTGGCGTGGTGGCGGCACTGCCCACCGTGCTGCCTGGGACGCCCCTTGCTTCCCAAGGACTCACCGAAGGCGCTTCCTGGAGGCGGGAGCCTCGCAGAGGGGCAGCCTCGCCCTGCCATGGCCCCCTGGCCCCTAGGACTTCCAATACCGCAGATATAAAATTTCACAAACTGTCCGCTGCTGTAATTTAGTTTATTTTCTGCAAGCAGATGGTCTTTAGATCGCTGCTGAAGTGGACCCTGTGGGGACCGTTGCCTAGAGGGAGCGCCAGGATGTCCTGGGAAGTTCTTCCCATTTTCTCCGCCTCGTTCTCAAGTGCTCCCGAGAGCAGGGGAGGGACGCAGGACATCAGGCTGCTTCGGATTTGTGGCAGCCAGGAGCTGCGTGTGGGAAGAGGAGAAAGAGGAAACCAGATGACAGAGCAAGAGCTCTGCAGTGCAGTGTCTGAAGTCACCGGCGTCCTTCACTGACAGTGGAAACGTTTCTCTGACGGATGACAGCCGGAAAGTTGCCCATTTCCTCTGCCTTGTTTCCGTCCACCCACAGCGCCAGGTTTTGGGGAGTTTTGTATATGAAATTGAATGAGGAGATGGGACAGCTTTACTTGGTTTTGGTAAAGTGAATTTTTTTTAGAATGTATAATTCTTTTTTTTTCTATAATTTCTCATAATTGTAGGCCTCATAAACTAATATGTAGATAAAAATGCAAACTCAAATTTCTGGTGTAGTTTATGCTACATGTACTGCCTTCATCTCCTATTTTTGAGATGTGTCGCTTAAGGTATTCTGTGTTCCAAAAAATGAAATGCAAGAGCCAGCATAAAATGTGTAAATTCACACAGTCAGCCAGAGTTTATGTTCAGACTGCTTAATGTAATTATGATGGGTTTGAAATAATGGTGTTCTGGGTGGTTCTGAAAGTGGTTTTCGTCCTCCACAAACAGCCTTCACATTGTGATTTCTCTGTCTCTGAAGAAGGCGCCATCCATTGGCGCATGTGGTCCTGAGGCGGGGCTGCCCTGTAACTGTGACAACCAAGCTGCCCCGAGTCACTCTGCTCCGAGCATCGCATCCCAAATGCCGCCTGCACTGGTTGTTCAGGGTATTGATGGAACTTTCTAGAATTGATGACCGATGCCCACATGCTCTTTTAAAATGGGTTAACAGGATCTCTCTCTCTCTCTCTCTCTCTTTCTTCTGTGAAGCATTGGTGTGTGAGAACCGGGCTCGAGTGCCCTCGTGACTGTGGAGTCTTAGCGTGATTCATGGTTGAGGAAACGCAGCCTCTGCCTCATCTCTCCTTGGTAAGTGAGACGTCGAAATGGGAAGAGAAGACATAAGAAAATATTATACGTTGAGATGCTTTGATAGCTTATGAGCTTTACTTATTTCTGCTGCCCAAAGTGGCAGTGAGTGAGCGAGGTTTCAGAAAGAGAGATCTTCATTAAGGCAAAACTGTTTTGAGCTGACCCCCCCCCCCTGCAACGTCACTCAGGACCCCAGAGGCCTGACAGGGGACCGCCGTTGTGTCCTCAGCATCTCTCGACCCCCCATGTGACTGCCTGCCCGGTTTCAGCTTCGTCTCTCTGGCAGGTACGCCTGTGGTCTGCCCCAATTTAGTCTGGAGTGTGTACCACTGTCACCTCCCCTCCTGTCCTGGGGCTTTCTGCAGCCCCCTCCCCTGCTGGGCAAGGCCTCAACTCCTTGTGCTGCCCTCAGGGTCCCTCCTGCTCAGGCCTCCACATATTCTTATGCCTCCCCTGGCCCTTGGACGGCGGAGGGACTGGCCCATCACTTCACAGTGGTTCGCTCCCATCCACCAGTCATGCTTGGTTGAATCTTCAAAGGCCGGTTCAGATGTGTTGTCTCTGCTGCGTCCTTTCGTAAGCACCTCAGACTGAGCTGTCATCTTCCTCCCCTGTGATACCTGTTGCCACCTTTTGGAGGGACTGGAAGTGAGGGCGGGGTAGAGGAGGAATGGGCTGGGTAGTGGTGTGAGGGAGGAACAAATCAGGAGGGGAAAGGGACGGAGTCTCATTACCTATGCTAGTCGTTGAACAGACACCACCTTGTTTTATTAACTTATTTTTGTCCCTATCACTATCTCAATGTGGGCAGGCATGTATGTGTGCCTTGCTGATTACAGGTAATCCAGGGTGATTTTCCGTATGATTGATGACTGTTCTGGCTCTGGGCGTTTGAGTTCCCAGTCCCCTGTTTTCTTGTATTGGGAAGGAGGTAAATGAATTTTATAGTTGGGACCTCTGCCGTGTAGAAATGCTCAGCTGAGATGGGAGGTTCTTTTGTTTAGCCCTCACGTTTCACAGAAGAAGAAATTGAGGGTCTACATTTTGTTTCATTTTCCAGCCCATATAGATTTGGGTTCACATAGTGTCTGACTAGGGAACCAGAGGGCTGGAAGGAACAGTAAAGACCACGTGAAGCTTGTGTCAGCTTGTTGTGGATGTGTGATGGTCACCGTGATGTGAAAGAAACATATTAGCTAATGTCATTTCTCACTGTGTCCTAGGCCCTGCCCTGAGTTATATGTATTAATCCTTATAATAACCCTTTGAGGTGGGTACTACTGTGATCACTGTTTTACAGATGAGGAAACTAAGGCACAGAGAGCTTAAGTAATCTGCCCAAGATTCACCACTAGTCAGAGGCAGAGCTGGGATTTGAATCTGCCTTCTTAACTGTAACACACGACTGCCTCTTAGCACTAGGAATGCCTTCACAGAATAAGAACAGATATACACTATTTTTTTCTTAACGGAAGTACTCAAGTTCTTAAAGAAAAACTCAGAATAAATATTACAAAATTAGTTTTTCAAACAGCAATCTAAATCAGAATTGGCAAACTTTTTCCAAAAAGGGTGAGGTAGTAAATATTTTAGGATTTATGGACCATAGAGTCTCTATTGCATCAGTTCACCTCTGCCTTGCAGCAAGAAAGCAGCTACAGACAATATGTAAACAAATGAGCATGCTTGCATTACAATAAAACTTTATTTAGAAAGACAGGTGGCAGGTTAGATTTGGCCCGCAGGATATAGCTTGCTGAGGTCTGCTCTACATGATCCTTGCAGTGCTCAAAGATCCCATAGTGTAGTGCATGATAGTGTTTCCTTGGCCAGTAGGTATGAGTCCCTTAACAACCTCTGGCTTGGATGCTTAGAATTTAATAATAAATTTTAATTAAATCTATAACTGCAAAAACCTACCCCTTGGAATAAGTGCATTTGATATTCCACTGCTTGACATAGTCTATATGCCCCAAGTACCTTAGTCCTAGCTGCTAGACTACAGCTTTGCTCTAAGTAGGGCCTGATAAATAATATTCTCTTAGTGAGCTTTATTAATCTAGAATGTGTTTCTAGACTCCAGAAATAGAATCTTATTTCATAATTTTATTTATGAAATTAAGTTAGATAGTATTTTCTACTTTGGTATTCATGTAGTTTCTAAGTGTGACATTGTTAGTTTATACCCTTATACAAACTTCTACTTATACATATGAAGGCAAACATGTAATTATCTTGGGTTGTATCCTAATTATGTTGAACAAAAATGTTCTGGTATCAAATATTACTTTTTTATTATGAGCAAAGACAAAAGTTTGAACAGGATTGACATACTTAAATCATGAGATAATATGGCAATACCCTTTGCCATATGTATTAAATGAGGTGTGGTTTTTGTTTTCTTATATTTTACTTTTTTTCTTAAAAAAAGAATACTTTTGACACCTCAAGGCATATTTTGCTCTATACCATACCATATAAAGAGATGGGCAAAGAAAATTAAAAGATCAATTAATTCATGTTTACTTAAATGAGTTTAAGCAGGGAGCTATTCTATTCATTCGGTCAGTCCTAGAAATAAATAATTGTAGCCTGCCCCTGAGCCCGTGTAGCAGAGCGTTTGGAGACATGCCTATTTCAAGGAGTGGCTGGTCCCTAGGTACTTATTCCATGTGTAATAGAAAGTGTTCTACACTTTAATAGCAATGCTATAAAAAAGACAATTCTGATTATAAAAGTAATAGAAAGCTATCTGAGGTACCTTATTAATTGAAAAAATCAAATTTCAGAATAATGTATTTAATATAATCCTATTCCTCTTAAAATACATAGACACACATAATCTTTACACACAATTTTATGTGTGTTATAAAGTCTACTGGAATATATATTAATAGATACAAAACTCTAAACAGAGATATATGTGGAGTTGAGGGTGTTTGCACTTTATCAACCATGTGTTCACTGACATTTTCAGGAGCATTGTTATTTTTGTAATTTAAAAAAATGAAAAAAAATGGATTAATGGAGTGAATGTTCATTATTGAAAATACACAAAGGAAGGGGAAAAATTCACCCATGATGCCTCCACCAAAAACAACCATTGTTGGCATTTAAGGTGATCTTTTATACTATATTCTTGATATGCAATTTATGGAGTTGAAATAATACCAGTCATAAAATTTTGCATCCTGCTTTTTCACTTGTTTTAATCTGCTTGCTCCCTCATATTATTGTAAACTGTTAATAAACTTCATTTTAATGCATATGTAATATTCCATCACGTGAAAGCACTGTAATGTAATTTACTGCTCTCTTTTGCTGGACATGTATATTGTTTCCAGTTAATAAAAATCATAGACTAAGTTGAAGTAAACATGAAAAGGGGAGGTAGCTTATATCTCATGCACGTGAGTTCCAGTCCTACTGTCCTGCTCTGTGCACAGTGTCATCTCTCTTATAAAAAGTGGAAATTTAGTGCATGAAGTACATGCTTCATAGATAATAGCGATTGTTGTCATAAAGATTTTTCTTTTAATTGAGGGTTAATTCATTAGATTAAAATAGCTACAGTTGATATACTCTATCAAAACCAGGGAGTTTTAATAGGATTGCCAGTTGGCTTTATAAAATTGTTGTAGATATTTATACTTCACTGATAATATGTTAAAGAGTTTGTTTTGCTAAAACCTCACTCTCATTGAGTATTATTATGAAGTTTTTTGCAATTTGATAACATCTATTCCTTTTTATATATTTTATTTTTCACTTATTATTTTGTTAATTTCATTCCAAGTGTGATAATTAGTCACTCTGAGAAAGGGGTGGAGAGGGAGGGAGGGAGGAGGGGAGGGAGAGAGAGAGAGAGAAAGAGAGAGAGAGAGAGAGAGAGAAAGGACAAGAACAAACATGTGTGAGAATTATTTGTCCAGATTTTGTAACTGTTTATCTATTACTGAGACTCAGATTTTAAGACTTGATTTTTAAGGATATTAACTCTTTATTATCACTGGGTTTTTTTTCCTTACTTAATTTGCTTGTTAACTTTATCCTTTTAAAGAAGTTTATTTTAGCAGTCAGATTTTTTCCTCATAATTATTTCAATCAGTGCTTAGAAATTTAACAAAATTTTCCTTCACTTTCTTCTGATCTTATTAAAAATATTTAACTCTTTAATTCAGGGAGCAGATATTTAAAAATTGATGTTTTCATATTGTTCTCAATGTTTTCTTCTGCCTCTCTCCTTCATTACTGATAAAAATCAATCTTCAATTTTAATTTAATGAGGATATTAAGACAATTAAAATATTTGTAAGAATGGGACAAAAATCCCCAGCTGTACATTTCTTCTTCCTACAAATAGAGACCTATTTTACAGTAAGACGACTGAGGTTCTTTCATTCATTTATTCATTTCTCTTGGTTAGAGAAAGGGTAACTTTTGCGTTTTGAGATATTTTTGACAAGTATATTTTAGGTTTTTTTCTTTTGATAGAACTTAACTCATTCTGTTGAACGTCATTAAGTTATCACAGTGCTTTGCTTCTTATCCCCTTATTGTACCTAAGTTTTGCTGTTTGCATTAAATGTTGAATGGTGGGTATAGAAGACCCAGCTAAGCTGGGGAAGATCACAGAAGTCCAGGTCAATGTCCTCATTTGTGGAGTTCAGAGCACTCACCTAAAATGTTAATTTGTTGTAATGTGCATATAAAAATATTTTTATAAGTTCCAAAAGTTAAAAATCTAGATCTTTGTTCTGGGATTCATGATAACCTGGCTGTAGACAGATTAGACCAAGACGTAGCTCACAGTCTTTTCTGTTCTTTTTTTTAAAAGATTTCTTGGTTGTAAAATAAGGGAAGTGAGAAGACATAAATTTGGGAGTGGTTTTAGGCAATGAGGTTTAAGCCAGACTGAGTTTCTGGAGACAGACAGACTAGCTTTGAAACACAAAGTGCTTGCTGGGCTGCTGATAGTGGTTCTTGTGGAGCCACTC